TCTGTGTCCCCTCCGAACCCCGCTGCTCTCCCTCGCCTGTATCGGCAGAGGCAGCAGGGATCGGAGGAACAAAGAGCCAATCCACCATGCGGGACGATCAGCAAATATGTGAAATATCGTTCCCTCGAATATTCAAACATCGCAGTGATAAGTACTGATCACTACGATGTTTGTAAATAATTGAGGCTATAGTATTCAGGTACTACATCCCCAATTATGAATGAACAGGAAGTTCTCCACATCACCTCGATTTATCTCCTCAATTTATGAATGAACAGGAACAGGGGCGTAACTAGAAATCCCAGGGCCCCATAGCAAAATTTTGTATGCACCCCACTGTACTGGGAGCCTTCTGTCCATTGAGTGCTGAGGCTGCAGAAGAAAAGATTGAGGACTGTGTGTACACAAATTCTATTTTTTATTTTAAAAGGTAAATATCAGGGGTCTGCTATACTCCTGATTTTTCCCCAACCCCCCGACAGTAAAGTAATATAATAATAAAATAATAATGAAATTTAATAATTCAATAATTCAAGACCAGTTTACTATCCTGCTTCACAGTTGCTGGCTTGGCCCAGTTCTTGAGGGACATCTCCTAATCAGTACAGGCAGTCCCCGAGTTACAAACATCCGACTCCTACTTACAAACGGAGTCTATTACTGTACAGCAGGGGTAGTTGTAATGCTACCGCACTCGCGCTGACGAAGAGTACCCATCTTTTTGGGTCTGGTTCGTAGTACTGTACGTACATTACAGGAAGTTGGCTCTTTTTAGACGTGCAGACCAGGGGTGCCCGCCTCCGAGAGGTTTTTACTGATGTCTGTATCTTCATTAGAAAGATTTAATCTCACTTCCTGTCCTTGAGACAACAGGAAGTGAAAGGAAATCTACCCCCTAGGAAGGGAAATTCACTCCTGTAAGAGTGATCAAGGGAAAAAGGTGCCTCCACTAAAGCTTTATCCCCACCAAAACTTTCAAAATCCAATTGTCACGGGGACAGAGAGTGAGGTGAAATCTTCTGAACAGGGGGGCACACACAGCAAAACAAACTTAACAGGGCGTAAACCCTTCCCTATGCTATCCAAAACAAAAACATTTTTTATTTTACCTGTTCCAACTTACATACAAATTCAATTTAAGAACAAACCTACAGTCCCTATCTTGTTCGTAACCCGCGGACTGCCTGTAATTCCCACAATACTAAAAGTAAGGAAGTCCACTTCCTGTAAGGTCCACCATCGCACATGGGAGGCTTACTGCTCTTGGTGGGAGGCAAGAAAACTTTCATTCCAAAAAAATGCAAAACAGTTTTTTTTAATGCTGAAGAGACACGCTATACACTGAGTGGCCAGATTATTATGACCACCTGACATTTGTAGGCAAATTAGCTATAATTTGGCGCTGAAGTTGCTAGAGGGCCGGACCATTATAAATAGGGAAGTGATAAATTAGTGATAAATAGGATCTTGGGGCGGACGCATGCGCAGTTCCGATTCTCGGCCGGGAGACGAGCAGAGACGCAAGGTAAGTCTATGGACGCGTGCACCCGCCTGCAGACACCGCTGGATCGGAGAGACAGAGCAGTCAGCGCTGGATCGGAGTGACGTCACACCGCTGGAGGGACACATGAAAACATGGGGAAAGAAGAGGAAGATCGGAAAAACAGACATCATTTGAGGTAAGTGCTTACATTTACATGGGGGGGAGGGGACATTTTTTTTGGCTTTAATGTCACTTTAAGCCTCTGCTCCAAGTTTGGCCATTTTGCTGGTCTTCCTCTCAAGGCCTTCTTCTTTTTGGGCATCTTAAAGAGTTGCTCTTCCTGTTCTCTCCCCTGTCTGATCATACACTCAGTGGGAGAAGGTCCAAATTGTCTCTCTGCAGCTCTATTTCCATGCTCTTTTGCATAAGTGATTACATCCAGTTTAAATTTTGCAGAGTAAGCCAGCCGCTTTACAGGTTGTTTTTCATTTTCTGACATATTTATGGGCACAGAATGCTCCGACATTACCGCTCTGGGCACTGTCTACGCGATCTACGGGATCAACAGGAAATAAAAATATGTGAAAAGGGGGACACTGCTATGTTAATGCTACTGGCAGTCCATAGCGTATACGTTATTTTATATTTTGCCCATGGTTACACTTTAATATTACCATCTGGCCCTTCATGAGAGCTGCCTTGTAATAAGTATTATTACCACAAGATGGCGCTGTAAGATCGCTGGATTTAAACCATCCACAATGTACAAGATAACAGTTTGCAAGACTTCCCATTCCCTGCTACATTGTCCGGGAAGTATCCCAAAATTCCCAGTGGGGATTGTGCTGCCGGGATTATTACATCAAATAAATGAGTTATATTTCACATCTTCAGAAGAAGTTTCCTTATGGTATTAAAACATAAACCATCCCCTCGAGAGAAGCCCGAGATAACACCACACGGGCCTTAAACATCATTCACTCGACCTTGTCGAAGTCAATCCCCAGCTTTCTGTTATCAGCTGACGCGGAGAAGGCTTTCGACAGGGTCGACTGGTCCTTTCTACGGCTCACCCTGGAACACATTGGGCTTGGACCAGGCATGCTTTCCTGGATCATGGCCCTATACAACGGACCATCGGCAAGGGTTCGTGTCAATGGTACCCTGTCCGACCCATTTGGGATAGCCAATGGTACACGTCAGGGATGCCCCCTATCTCCGCTCATTTTTATTTTAACTCTGGAACCCTTACTGCGCTCCATTCGGATGAATCCAGATATCAGAGGCATACAGATAATTTAGTCATTTGCAGGCCATCTAAAAACCAACGGTTTATGCCGTTCCCAAGGTGATAAGAAGGCCTCACTATAGCATCTTGGGAATGTTAGTCCACAGCGTAATGGTATTACACCATTTTCCTAATGTTATCCTGAGATGTCATTGATACCGCTGAATGTTTGTGTTTTTTCATGTTCTCCCCACACTTGTCTGTAATTGACATATTTGTTTTCCTTCCCCCTCGACTGTGTGTAATTGACTTAACAAGTTATGTTACGAAAATAAAAGAATTTATAAAAAAAAAAAAAAAACATAAACCATATAAACGCGTTTCGTGGGCAAATTGCCACTTCTTCAGAAAAAGTGAATCACAACACTCTGGGTGTTAAATCACAATGAATAAATAGTTAATAAATGATAATTTTTTTGCCTTGTGTAGATGATGGAGCATACTGTATATGTATATAAAGACACAGAAATGCAATGCAATACAGTATAGTGCGGTACATACATAGTCCAGATTCATAAATACTGACTCATAGTGAAAAACGAATCTATTGCAATCAAGGTTGTCAAACACTGAATGGTACTGGGATCGCACAAATCAGAACGGTTCCCGATCATGTGATCCCTATGACAACTATGACCTGGTGATCACATGGGTTTGTTTACAAGCAAACCTTCTGCCTCCTGCAGTCAGGGTGCTCCATGTTGAAGAGGCACTTTGACTGTTTAAGCACCTGTGCACATTGTATCTGGGTCTCCCCTATCAATCATAAAAATCAGAATGTTTCCCACTTATGTGATCCACATGGTGATCACATGTTTTTTTTTTTACAAACAAACCCGCCAGCTTTTGCAGTCACAGAGCCCCACACTGAAGAGTCACAGTGACAGCTGCAACCAGAAGGAAGGACGGAAAATACAGACAAAGTAACAGGTTCTCTTTAGAGCAGGCACAGCAACAGGTTCTCTTTATAGCAAGCAATGTAATGGGTTCTCTTTATAGCAGGCACACTAATGGGTTCTCTTTATAGCAGGCACAGTAACAGGTTCTCTTTATAGCAGGCACAGTAACAGGTTGTCTTTATAGCAGGCACAGTAACAGGTTCTCTTTATAGCAAACAATGTAACAGGTTCTCTTTATAGCAGGTTTTAGTAACAGGATCTCTTTATAGCAGGCAATATAACATGTTCTCTTTATAGCAGGCACAGTGACAGGTTCTCTTTATAGCAGGTTTTAGTAACAGGATCTCTTTATAGCAGGCACAGTAACATGTTCTCTTCATAGCAGGCACAGTATCAGGTTCACTTTATAGCAGGCACAGCAACAGGTTCTCTTTATAGCAGGCAATATAACATGTTCTCTTTATAGCAGGCACAGTGACAGGTTCTCTTTATAGCAGGCACAGTAACAGGTTCTCTTTATAGCAAGCACAGTAACATGTTCTCTTTATAGCAGGCACAGGGACAGGTTCTCTTTATAGCAGGCACAGTAACAGATTCTCTTTATAGCAGGCACAGGGACAGGTTCTCTTTATAGCAGGCACAGGGACAGGTTCTCTTTATAGCAGGCACAGGGACAGGTTCTCTTTATAGCAGGCACAGGGACAGGTTCTCTTTATAGCAGGCACTGAGGGGAGGAGCCTTTAAAGGCAAGGCTAGGTGACCCCGGCACTCCAGCTTTGGTGAGACTACAAATCCCGCACGCCCAGGGACCGTCACCCACACAGGGCACAGAGCCCGCTGGATTGGGTGGCAGCTCAGATGGTCCGTGCATCCGGGCGCGGCGACAAAAGCCGATGGCAGCTGAACAAACACAGCGCGTCCGCTGTGTAAACAGCGAGGAAGAACCGATTTGGATTAAAGGGAAACTCCACCCAGAGCGCCATTCCTGACCCCATCCACTATGCTCATTAACCAGCGTGTGAACTAAACACTGTCTGCGTTCCCCTGCGTCAGCACAGACAGTCCTCATTTCAGACACCTTTTAAATACACAGCGCGCCACCTCAATACCTCCCCCCGCGCAGCCGTCCATCCAAGCATCTGAAACATGAGGCTGTCCGAGCTCCGGGGCTGAATTCTATTTTCCACTCCTGCTCCCATTTCAGCAGCCCGCCCTCTTGTTCCCCTCTTTTCAATTTTCACCTGACGTGCACGGGACACCCAATATAAATAGGGATCATCGGACATTTGTCGGACGCGTTGCCCTTTATTTGTCGGACGCGTCGCCATTTGCCGGACGCGTCGCCTTTTATTTGTCGGACGCGTCGCCTTTTAATTTGTCAGACGCGTCGCCTTTTATTTGTCGGACGCGTCGCCTTTTAATTTGTCAGACGCGTCGCCTTTTATTTGTCGGACGCGTCGCCTTTTAATTTGTCAGACGCGTCGCCTTTTATTTGTCGGACGCATCGCCCTTTATTTGTTGGACGCAGCGCCCTTTATTTGTCGGACGCAGCGCCCTTTGTCGGACGTGTCGCCTTTTATTTGTCGGACGCGTCGCCTTTTAATTTGTCAGACGCGTCGCCTTTTATTTGTCGGACGCAGCGCCCTTTATTTGTCGGACGCGTCGCCTTTTATTTGTCGGACGCGTTGCCCTTTATTTGTCAGACGCGTCGCCTTTTATTTGTCGGACGCAGCGCCCTTTATTTGTCGGACGCAGCGCCCTTTATTTGTCGGACGTGTCGCCTTTTATTTGTCAGACGCGTCGCCTTTTATTTGTCAGACGCGTCGCCTTTTATTTGTTGGACGCAGCGCCCTTTATTTGTTGGACGCAGCGCCCTTTATTTGTCGGACGCAGCGCCCTTTGTCGGACGTGTCGCCTTTTATTTGTCAGACGCGTCGCCTTTTATTTGTCAGACGCGTCGCCTTTTATTTGTCGGACGC